TTTTTATATTTATCATATTAGAAATTAAAACATAAAATTTTTAAACAGATTCATTTTTAAATAATAAGCTTATTACATGTTAATGTAAATAACATACTTTGATGAAAAATCACTGTATTCCCCCCCCAAAAAAATTAGTGAGAACAGTGGCATTGTTTTACATATATCTGCAAATATTTTTAATGTCTGGCTTAAAAGACCTCTCATACCTGCTTCTGCATGCAATCTGCTGTTTTAGTTGAAGTATATGAAGAAAATCCAATCTCACAGATATGTAGTTGGAAAAGAAAAGAGTATTTTAATAAGCAAATGTCTTATTATTATGAAGAGTTTTGACTCTGAAGACCCCTGAAAGAGTCTCAGGGACCCCCAGACCACACTTAGAGAACCATCACCTACTCCATAATGTCTCCTGACAAATTAAATATGGTAATAAAGAATCCCACAAATGAATTTCCACAAAATTAGTGATGTTGTCATTATTACTACACTTATACATCATGATGTGTTCTTGGGAAACTTTATGTTAAAAGCATACTATTAGTAACCAGATCAGAAACTCCCTCCACTGAGCATCAGCACCTATTCTGAAAGTATAAAAGAACTGACTGGGGCACTATAAAAATTAAGTGATTTGCCCAGGGTCACATAGTCAGTATGTGTTGCCAAACTTGAATCCTGATCTTCCTGACTCTTTTGAGACCAGCTCTCTCCCTCTATTAGGCCAGGATTACAAAAAAACAAAAACAAACAAAAAAACCCACATAAAATATATACACACATATATATAGACACATACACACACACACACATATATACATATATGTGTGTGTGCACATACATATTCTTTAGTAAAACTATTCAGGCTATACCAAATTCATAAATAGGTCAACAATTCAAATCATCAATCTACAAACTAAAATAGCAGTAAGTAGCACCACCTCTTGTATGAACCTTGTAATCTAGGTAGGCAAAACCTCAGAAGGGCAAAAAAAAAAAAACAGATCTAGGGAAAAAAAGGACAATGTGAAACAATAGCTATATAGCCTTTTATCAATGACCACGATAGATATGACATTGTCTTTTAAAGTTTTCTCTCCATATTTCAATTTCAGATAAACAATTACATGTGTATATGTACATATGTGCTACAAAAATATAAAGGTTGACTCACTGTGTATATTTGTAGGTAAAGTGGATAGAGCACTGGAGGCAGGAAGACCTAATTTTAAATCTGACCTCAGCTACTTACTAAGTGAGTGAACTTGGGCGAGTCATTTAACCTAATTACCTCAGTTTCCCCAACTATAAAATAAGAATACCACCTACCTCTCAGGGTTACTGTAGGGATCAAATGGGATATTTGTAAAGTATCTAGCATATAGTAAGCACCACATAAATTTAACTCTTATTACTAATATTGTAATTTCTAGAAGGCTGCATACTGTACTTAACTTCACTATGCATGTGTAGCCTCAAAATGGACTTTAGCTACTGATGCACAAAACAGAACCAACTAGGGAAGCCACCTGGCAACAAACTGGGACTAATAAGCAAGGCAAAAGCTTTTATTTCTCAACTTGAACTTAACGGTATACTAATATAATAGCAGAGTGTCTAAAACACTGACTAATCATCTTGTTGGGAGTCACAAGGTGGCACAATGGATACAGTGCCAGGCCTGAAGTCAGGAAGACCCATCTTCCTGAGTTCAAATCTAGTCTCAGATGTGTGACCCTGGGCAAATCACTTAACCTTGTTTGCCTCAGTTTTTTCATCTGTAAAATGAGCTGGAGAAGTGGCAAACTACTCTAGTCTCTTTGCTAAGGAAACCCCAAATGGGGTCACAAAGAGTTGGACATGACTGTTAAATGTCTTAATCAACTTGTTAAACTGCAACTAACACAAATGTAAGGTTTTATTCAGCTAGAACTTACTGAACAAGAGAAATTCCAATGCTGTTGCAGATGGCATATGAAGAGCAACAAAATATATCTGTTGTATGACTTTGGATTATATTTTAGCTTCTGTAAGACTTTCAAAACACAGTTTTAAAAACTACAATATTCATGTCTTCCTTTTCTCTTAGGGTTTCCTTCACAGAAACTTAATATTTACAGCATTCTCAAATGGAGTTGAGTAGAAAAACCACATTTCTCAAACAACACTAATTGACCTGAATATGAAAAATATTTTAATGACACTATAAGGAGAGGTACTTTTATATTATTTCTAGGGACATTCTCTTTTCCAAGAACCTTAAATCAAAGAATTACAGCATAAGTAAAAGACAATCAATCATGAACTGATGTAATCATTCTGAAGAGCTATTTGGAACTATGCCCAAAGGCTATAAAACTGTTCATACCCTTTGACCCAGCAATAATCACTATTAGGTCTGTACCCCCTAAGAGATCAAAGAGAAAGAAAAAGGACATACATGTACAAAAAATTTATAGCAGCTCTTTTTGGGGCAGCAAATATTTGGAAATCGAGGGGATACCCATCAATTGGGGAATGGCCAAATAGGTTGTTGTATGATTGTAATGGAATATTATTATACTATAAGAAATGTCTAGCAGGATACATTCAGAAAAACCTGGAAAGACTTACATAAACTGATGCAAAGTGAAGTGAGGAGAACCAGGAGAACACTGTATCAGTAACAGCAATATTGTAAGATGATCAACTGTGAATGATGTAACTATTTTGATCAATACAATGATACAAGACAATCCCAAAGGACTTAAAGATGAAAAGTGCTATCCACCTTCAGAGAAAGAAGTGATGGAGTTTGAATGCAGATGGTATTTTGGTTTTTTTTTGTTTGTATTTTCTTTTATAACATGACCAGTAAGGAAATGTTTTGCATTATTTCACATGTATAATTTATGGCAAAGAACTTGCCTTCTCAAGGAGAAGATACAGGAGGGAGAGAATTTGGAACTCAAAATTTTAAAAAACAATTTTAAAATTGTTTTACATGTAATTGAGGAAAAAAGAAAATGGAGAAAAAAACAATCAATAATCTCCAAAGTTGATATTAGTTCTCCTTTGGTAAGCTAAAAACTTTACTAAATATGTAAAGAGAATATAAACTACAATTCTTCAAAACATTTTTTAAGATGAATTCTTTCAAAATGTAACCCTGTGCTTCGGAATGAGATATGACATAGATGCAACGAGCTAATTTGTTTTACTTGACTATACTTATTTGTTAGGAGAAAGCTTTTACTGGTCAAAGTTAGTAGTTAGTGACAGACAGACAGGAAGATAGAGAGAGGGAAGGAGAGAGGGAGGTAAAGAATTTTTTAAATATGCCAAAGAGAGCAGAGAGACCAAGACAAACAGGAGGATTTTGTTATTCTCATATTAAATTTAATACACACTTTAAAAAACTGAATGCAACCTAGATTCAGTATCATATAGATCCTCTTTTCTGTTCTTCTCTGTATATTGAAATGTTAATAAAAAAAAAAGAAATGCTAATGTATGCTAATACTTGTCAGATTCTTATTACGAAACAAAATTTTAGCAATAAATATTTTACAAAAGTCTCTCAATGGAGCTTTAACAGCATATCATAAGAACCAATAAAAGTGTATTGAGTTCCAATACCCTATTTCCCCAATACCTGTTAGGACAGATGACTACGGGAAAATTTTCTCCTGAATAAAAGTTGATTTTAATGTAAAAGCAGACAATGAGCTTAAAAGATCAATAATTATGTCTCTAGATAAATTAATATCAGGTCTACCTTATCTGGATTAAGATGAAAAGATTTAGTATAAAAGATAACTAAACAATTAAAGTGCCATCTTATTTTCATATTGGATTCTGGAAAACTGGAGCCTAAATCCCTTTCCCAGTTTTTTCAAATCATAACATTTATGCTAATTTTCACAACTAAAACCAAGTTTACATATGTCCTCTATTCTGAAAAAGAGGATCTGCTGAGATTCTGAGAGTTTGGCTATCACAAATATTTACCCTTTTAAAAAACTTTTTCCTCAATACTCAACTTGCATGACAATTTGCAAAATGACTAGGTCACCTTGAATTTTCCTTTGAAAACCGTTCCAAAACCCTTAACATTTTTTTCAAAAAATCTTAATATTGTGAGGTTTTCTATTACCCAAGAGATAGCTCCTGGCTTCTAACAGAAACTAAGAGTAAAGAACACAATAATCTTATGGTTGCTTTAAACCATCTCAAACTTCTTTTAACTCACACTATACTCCTAAATCACCTTATGCTGCAGCCACACAGAGAGCACATGACTACAAGGATTTTCAATATTCCCCCAAGTCCCTTACTTGGTCCCTCTGATGACGACTGTCCTAAGTTTCAATAATTTCTGCTGGCCTGTAATTCCCCTTCATTTTCCAACCCAACCACCTTGAAGGAACTTGTATCCCCTTCCTCCGGCTATTGAACATAGCGACAACATTTCCAGACTGCTCTAAGTAAGACCTTGCAGGATGAAAATCTTCCCCTGACCCAAATTACTGTTGCCAGGGTGTGCAGCAGTAATGCAGTGTTCTTTTGGTTGGATTTGGTTTCTCTTTGAGACTCCGAGGGTACACTTTTCCGCCCAATAATCAACCGACCTCTTCTCAATTCCTTTCATTCTCCAAGATTTCCCAAAGTGACTGATACCTCCAGAGCAAGGCAATTTGAAACAGGTAAGGGAGGATGGTCTCTAATTGTGTGTTCTCTCTTTTTTCCCCCCACCGAACGACTTCATCCCACCCAACTGACATTCCCCCCTCCCCCATTCACGCTTTGCAAATGGGGAAAGGGAGTTAAAAATAAAATAAAATAAATTCAGTCGTGGGTACGAGTCAGCAAAAACTTGTCAAGCCCGCCGCCGGGACTAGCCGGCGCTGCCCAAGGACGCGCGTGTTTCCCGAGGCCAATTAGCGGCCCCGCACCAACCACAACAACAAGAGTCGTGGGCCGGGCGGGGGGAGGAGGAGGAGGGGGGAGGGATCGAGCGAGCGAGCGAGCTGGGTAACGCTTTCCACCCCAGGAACGATCCTGCCAGGCACAGCCCCACGGCTGCAGAGCGGACCCATTTTCCAGGTAAGGAAACGGAAACTGTAGGAAAACGAAGGATTTTTCTGGGAGGGGAAGGCATTATGAACGACTCCCCCCCCTTTTTTTTTTCTAAGTCTACCTTCCCCCTCCCGCTCCGAGAAAGGGGAGCCCGGGAGGGAGCCCCCCGACACCGCCTCGGGCCCTCGCCTGCAGGTCGGGAAGGGGAGGGAGCCGGGGCCCCGCGGAAGGGAAGCGGCCTCGCCTCAGGCAGGGGCGCCAGGCAGCCGGGGGCGGGAGGAAGGAGCGCCGGCCCCGAGGCCTCAAAGGGGAAGTCCCGAAGGGCCGGGCACGGCCGCTTCCGGAAGCCGGCGTGCTAGGAAGGGAACTTGGAGGTCGGACGCCGCCGGCTCCAGGGCCGCTGTTTACCTGGAAGTCGCGGTCCTCGTTGAAGCGGGAGAAGCGATCCGCCATCTTGCCGCCGTGTAGCTCCTCTCCGGACGACGACGACGACGAATACGACGCAGGCTCGCTCCCGCGCTCGCTCCTCCCTCCTCCCCTTCCCCTCTTCCCGGCCTCCTCCCACGCCTGCGGGTCGCGCGCTCGAGCGGGAGCGAGCTCGCGACTCCCGTCGCGACGGCCCCGCCCGGATACGCACCCGAGGAGCTCCGGCGGCGCCGTCTGGCCTCCCCTGCCCTTAGCCGCCGAAGCCCGCTGCGCATGCCTATTCACGTTCAAGAGCCGTAATTGCTCCTTGAGGGAAAGAGCGGAGGGGAGGAGCGGGAGCAGGTCGGAAGACGTCTCTACCTTCTTTTGTGTGAGTGCGCGTGCGTCCGTGCGTGCGTGTGTCCGTGTCTGTATATATGTATGTACCTATGCGCAGCCCCAAAGTGTCCCGAATGTCTTAGTGCGGCTTTAAGCTATTGAAGATGAGTTTTTAAAAATCTCATTTATCATTTCTATATTAAATCATGTGTATTTAATATAGCGTATTGGATAATTAATATTAAATCGCTTAAAACCGCACTAAGGCTTTTGAAGTGATGTACTTGTATATATGTATATGTGATGTTCCAAAAGTCTTAGTGCGGTTTTAAGCTAGTAACGCTTAATAATAAATTATTATTTATAGTCTGTTACTGTAATATTGTATAATACATTATGCACATATTAGATACATTAGTAGGTCATGTATTAAATATATTGATATTTTGTATTAAATAATAAGTTAATAGCAAATCGCTTAAACTGCACTAAGACTTTGGGGACATCACATATACATGTATGGAGTCCCAAAAGCTTTAGTGTAGTTTTAAGCTTGTAAAGCTTAATAATAAATTGTTATTTTTATGATACATGTATTAAAGTAATGTTAAATATGTTGTACATATATTAAATACTAGTATGTGTTTCATATTAAATATATTAATGTATTGTGTATTAAATGTATTTATATAATAAATATATAAAATAATAAATTAATAACAAGTGGCTTAAATGGCACCAAGACTTTTGGGACAGCCCCTATGCATTTACACTTACATGTGAGGCAGCTAGGTGGTGTAGTGGATAAAGCCTGGATTTAGAGTCAGGAAGATCAGCATTTAAATCCAACTTAAGATGCTTGCTGTGTGACCCTGGGCAAATTACTTAACCTCTGTGTGCCTAAATGTCCTCCCTTGTAAAATAGAAATAATAATAGCACCTACCTCAGGATGGTTGTTGTCATAAAATGAGACAATACTTGTAAAGGTCTTTGGAAATGTTAAAGCACTATGTGAATATCTGTGTTCAGTCCTGTCCAACTCTTCAAGACCCCATTTGGGGTTTTCTTGACAGAGATACTGGAGTGGTTTGCCATTTCCTTCTCCAGCTCATTTTACTGGTGAGGAAACTGAGGCAAACAGGTTTAAGTGACTTACCCATGGTCACACTGGCGGCTAGTAAGTATCTGAGGCCAGATTTGAACTCACAAAGATAAGACTTCCAAACTCCAGGCCTGGCACACTATCCATTGCCTTAACTAGCTACCCTATATGTAAATGCTAGCCCTTATCATTATATAAAGGGTGTCCCAAAAGTGCAATTTTAAGCTTCAATAGCTTGGCAGTAAACTTTCTAGGGGTATATGCTTAGATGATGAGGTTGGTGCACAAATTGCCAGAGCTAGCTCAGTGTTTGGAGGCTCCGAAGGAAAGTGTGAGAGAAAAGAGATACTCGGCTACCTATCCCTGAGTCTGCAGCGCCGTTGGGCTGACCTCATTGTTGTGTGCCTGTGAAACCTGGACAGTATGCCAGCGCCATGCCAGAAAACTTCATCACTTCCACTTGAATCGTCTTAGGGATATTCCGAAGATCACCTGGCAAGATAAAGTACTGTACACTGAGGTCCTTTCTAGAGTTGAACTGCCAAGCATTCAAACTCTACTGCAGAGAGCACAACTCCAGTGGGTTGGCCATGTTGTTACCATACCAAAAGTACCTTTGTCTAAGACTGTTTTTTATGGAGGGCTCACATAAGACAAGCAGACCTCACACATGAAGGTCAGAAGAAGGAATACAAAGACACTTTAAAGGTCTCTCTGAAGAACTTTGGACTTGATGGTGAGACATGGGATACACTGGGACAGGACTTCCCAGCATGTCATGCCCACGTCAGAGAAGTACAATAGCTCAAAAGAAATATGAGATGCACAAATTGAGAGACATCTCCACTCCAAATGTTCATATGGACTATTTGTGCCCGACCTATGGTAGAGCCTTCCGAGCTCATATTGCTCTGATGAGCTACAGTCTGACACACTGTACCTTGACCCCAATATAGTGATGTCATCTTGGTCCTCTTTAAGGACAAAAACCATTGTGTGTATGCATGTACATATATGCATGCATACACATATATGTGTGTATGTGTACATATGTGTATATATACATATATACTTAAAACGCCATACTTTTCAGCTCCCTTTTATGTATTATCCTTCAATGTTAGAATGTAAGCTTCTTGAGGGCAGGGACTCTCTTTTTGGTTGTTTAGTATCTTTAGCACTTAAGGAGGTGCCTGACACATAATAAAGTACTTGATAGATACTTGTTTCCTTCCTTTCTTTCTCTCTATGTCTTGTTTGGCCAAGAATTCTTCTCTATAGAGATGCAAAAGCTGTCACTTTTACTGCTCTAATTTGTTTAGGATATGACTTTAAATATCTAGGTCATGTATCCATTTGGAGCTTTTTGTGATATATATGGTATGAGACTTTAGTCAGTCTAATTTCTACCAGATTGTTTTTAAATTTTTGCCACACTTTTGGTCATATAGTGTTGCCTGAGTAGTTGGGGTCTTACCACTACTAGGCTTATATTGCAGAGATCATAGAAAATGGAAAAAGACCCAGATCTACTAAGATATTTATAGCCACATTTTTTTCTTGTACTAGAAAACTGGTAACTAAGGAAGTCCCCATCACCTGGGAAATGGCTGAACCAATTATGGTATATGAATGTAATGGAATGTTATTGTGCCATAAGAAATTATTAAAAGAATGGTTTTGGGAAAACCTGGAAATAATTGTAACAATAGCATTTATATAATACTTTAAAGTTCACAAAGTGCCATATGTATGTTATCACATTTGATGGAAAGACTTGTAATAAATTTATGGAGAGTTAAGTGAGCAGAAGCAGAACAACTTATACAATCCATTGTAAAGACAAAAACTTTTGAAAGACTTAAGAACCCCGATCAAAAACAATGACCAACTGAAATTCCAGAGGCCTGATCATGAAGCCTGTTTCTACTAACAGGAGAATTTGATAGACTCAAGATGAAGGATGAGAGCTGACATTTTCAGACATGACCAATGTGTGGATTTGTTTTGCTTGACTATGCTTATTTGTAACTAATTTTTGTTGCTGTTTTTAAATTTCAGGGAGAACTAAGAGGTGGGGAAAGACTAGTAATAGAGAGTTGTTTTGGGGTTTTTTTTGACAATACAATTGAGGTTAAGTGACTTACCCAAGGTCACACAGCTAGTGAGTATCATGTATCTGAGGTTGGATTTGAACTTAGGTCTGCCTGACTCCAGGGCCAGTCCACTGTGCATTTAGCCATTTAGCTGCCCCTCTGAGAGATATTTTTTAAAAAAAAGAAGAAGAAAGAGTCATTGAAGCAGTTTTTTTTAATGCACAGAATATGAATGGTCAAAGGATATGAATAGGCAGTTTTCAAAGGAAGTCAAGTCAAATCAACAAGCATTTATAAAGTGTCAATTATATGCCAGACGCTGTGCTGGGCCCTGGGAATATAAAGTGTTTAAAATAGCATATACTACATGCCAGGGACACTGCTAAACAATTTACAAATGTTATCTCATATCAGTCCATGCTCTCAAGGAGCTCACAGTCTAATGGGGGAGACAACTGTGCAGACAACTATGTACAAACACAAAACATATAGGATAAATGGAATATAATCCCAGAGGGAAAGCAGTAGAATTAAGGGGGATCAGGAGAGGCTTCTTGTAGAAGGTGGGATTTTAGCTGAATCTTGAAAGAAGCCATCAGTCAGGAGGTAAAGGATTATCTTGTTCAAGGAGCAGCAAGGAGGCCAGGCACAGGATCTCATAGTCCATTGAAGATAATAAAGTATAAGATGACTGGAAGAGTAGGAAGGAGCCAGTTATGAGGAGCTTTAGAAGCCAAACACATGATTTCATATTTGACCCTGGAGGTTATAAAGAGCCACTGGAGTTTATTGGATAGGGGAAGGGGGGTAATGTGTGACATGGGGACCTGCACTTTGGGAAGATCGATTTGACAGCTAAGTGGGGAATATACTAGAGGAGGGAGAGAGATTTGAAGCAGGTAGACCAATCAGAAGGCTGGCTATTATGACAATAATCCAAGAGTGAGGTGATGAAGGCCTGTACCTGGGTGGTGGCAGTGTCACAGTAGAGAAGGAGGCATAAAAGAAAAATGTTATAAAGGTAAAATTGGAAGTAAAAAAGCGAAGTTATCAAGACCCCTATGAAAGAAAATGCTCTAAGTCA